TAAACATGTGAGGTACAGTGCATTACTTAATATTCTGAAGAGAGGATTGTGAATCATTTTACATTAATTACTAAAGCAAATGTTTATAAAATGCATCTCAGTGTATAATCACCAGCTGATCTTACCTCTGCAATCCTTACAGGAAATAGAAAGTGGAACATAGGTTAAATTCTATGCCGATTCCTTCTTAAAAACGAGGATAAATTGCTGACCTGGCAAAACTTGCAATAATCTTTTCCCACAGTGCTCTTTGTACATTATTCTTTTCAAATATTTTAAAAGAAATAGTCTAATTTAGTCAAAATAGTCTTAGGTTTTTGCAGCAAGTTACTTTATCAACTTATAAAAACTTGGATAGGACCCCTCCCCCAAATGGTTACAGTCCCCCAAAATTGCAGTTTCCTTGAAGAAAACTCCCTGAGTTCTGTGACTGAGTCTGTGGTGATGTAAGACAAGAGCAGCAGTACTACTGTACTTCAGTAAATTAATCAAAAATGTCTTCATCTTCCCTTTCAAATTAGGTATTTTAACGTTTTGCTGCTGGGACATATTTTTTTTCTGTAGCACAAAGCTGAATATAAGAGGTTTGAAATTTCATACAATCTGAGATACATTATCTCGTAACAAATCCTGTTGGAGGATTAACTCTCTTCTAAAGGGAACCCAGTGTCAGTTTGCAAAAGGAGAAATGACTGATGGCAACATTATTAATGACAAGCAGCTAATTTCTATGCAGTTTTACCTAGCTACTACTTACGGAACCTGCAGCCACCAGTATACATTATGCAGAATACCTAACTAATTTTCAAAATCCTTGCTTAAAACTTAATTCAAGGGAAAGACCTCTTGATCTCACAAAAGGCATTATTGCCGGAGATTAAACTGCTTGATGCTATGTATTGTTCTAGCTGTAGTCAAGAGGGAATATTAATTGAGATGTTCCATGGATTACAGTGTGTATTCCACAGTGGTTCACATGTTTCCTGGTGGTCTTTCCAACAGGAATAGCACAAATGAGGGGAATAAGACGGATCATTTTGAACCTTAGTTGTTAAGCCATTGTTCTGTTGTGCACAAAAGGTAATGCTTGGTTGATTTGCTTTATTTCTGAACTGTTCTGATTTTTTCCCTGTGCACCTAATCTCCACCACTTCCTCTGTGAGTCATCAGCAGCTGGACCCAGTGAAACCACAGGAATTGGCTCCTGGTAAAGAGCTCTAATGGTGCTATTACTCAAGTTCAATTCTCTTTAAGCCTGGTAAAGAAGCATCATGAGTCATATGGTACAGACAAGAGTTCTTTTGCATTTGCTTCTTTAGGAAAATCAAAACCTATGCTTTGCTTTTTTTGAAATGATTAAAATCAGTGTCTCCTGTGCCTATCTCTCTGCACGGCCTTTGCAACAAAGATGAAATGTCATTTTCCTTTGAATTTCTCATTACTTTCTCCTTGCACTTACCTGCTGTACAGCCTTTTTAAAAAACAAGTTCTTAAAAATAAAACAAAACAAAAAATCACAGCCATTTAGCTCTTCCCCTTCTGCTCATTTTCACTGCGCAGAAGTGCAATGTGATTCACACCTCTGATTCAGCTGATTTGATTAGTTGTTGCTGCCATACACCTGCTGCTGTCACGGTAGTAGCCTGTATTTGTGGCATAAGTTCCTGCTGCTGTCAGAACAGGTGGATATTGTATAGTAGATTGAAAAGAATGGTTTGAATGGCAATTGTTCTCCATCTCTACTTACACAAATCCAGGACAAGTTGGGTCCATCAAATTAGTCTCTCCCGATTTGCCTGCAGTTACTAGGATGGTCACGTATCTTATTTAAGCTAAGGCCAGATTTTCAACTGCAGATAAGAATAACCTTACCAGATGAAATTTATAGTAAGATGGTTGTTCACAACCTCTGTTCATGGCTTATTCTTGGGCTTTTCTATACTAGACAATTTGAAGACTTCAGAGAGCTCTAGGGGATCTCTTTGACTCTTGGTAGGATTTCCTTTCCTCTCCTTCAATTAAAACAAGTCATCCTTAACATTTAAAAATGGTCCTTATTAAAAGAATTTCTCATTGTTATTATCCTCTCAGAACAGCATTTTGCCTTCTGATGAAGTCCTGCATGCTGGTTGTAGGAGCCTCACTGAATTGTAATGCAGTGCTGCACAGGGACTGATACTCTATGACAGCGTATAATGCTGGACAGCAGAAAAAGAAAAGGAATAAAGGAAAAGAAAAAGAAAAGAAAGCAAGCAGGGGAAAAAGGAAAAAAAAAATAGGGAAAAAGGAAAAAATGAAAAAAATAAAAAGGAAAAAGAAAAGGATGAATGAAAACAAAGGGAGTTTATTGTTCAGCTTATTGAGCAGAGTAAACTATATAGCAGTTGAGAAAGATACTCCTGCAAAGCAGAGGGAGCCTTCTTTCCATACAGATCTTTTATAGATCTACTCTGAAATCTTAAACTTTCTGAGTTGAATGTATTTCAGTGAAATACTGAATGACAGAGCAAGTAACATTCAACTGGTAGGAAGAACTGGAGAAACCAAATACAGATAATTTGAAGCCTCCTAAAGAGAGGTAAAATGAAACTGTAGTCTCTAAATTGGATCCTTTATTTATTAGCACAGTCGTATTTAAATGGATTATGAGCTCCAACACAGGCATTCCCAAGTTGCACTCCACATACCACAAGTGGTACGCAAGTGTCTGCAATGTGACTTGTGACCCTTTGTAGAGCTGCAGGCTGAGGCTGCTGTCACCACTGTTGCTGATGGCAGTGCTTGGCAAGGGAAAGTTTGAAAATCATCATAGTCTTAACAGATGAACAGTTTTCCCTTTCATGCAAGATATTTATTTCAGGAAACAGAGTGCCTCATCTGTAGCGGCTCATCTATAGCACACACAGTGTTCCTCCAGTTTGAACAGACCCAAATGTTTTGGGGTCTTTATACTATAAATGCAACCTAAATACCATCTTACCACCAGTGCCAAAATTTAGAATTGATTACTGCTGCCTAAATAAAGATACTGCTATTTCTCTTGATGTACTTTTCCAGCTAGCTATTAAATCAGTGGCAGACTGTAAATCATGATTGTGCGGTAGGATTCTAATGTGCACTTTTTCGAGTATGCACAACTGAGCAGTTGTGCTACAGAAGTATTTGTTTTTCCAAAGGCAAGGAAAAACAGAAATTGATAACATTTTTAATGGACTACAATTCTGTAATTTGGAATTATCCTCAAAGTTTTGTGGATTTTGTATCTATTTCAAATTAATATTTGATTAAAGTATCTCTCTGTGCAATCCTTAGAATGATTAATTTGGTACTTTTATTCAGCTTTTACCTTTCATCTTGATGGCACACATTAGTGATATAAAAATTTTCCAACTTTCAGGTTCGTACAGAAGAAAAGGCAGAAGCAGAGCTGTCAGTTTCAGTCCAATTCTAACAGATGCATTTGTTTTACAGTAGAAGCTGGTTTCACATTCTTAAGAATATTGTAAACAATTTGCAGCTGCTTGATTTTTTATGCCATCATAAATATTCATGACAATTCTTCAAGATCTACAAATATAAGGTGACCTTAGACCAAAAAAAAAAAAAATCAGACTCAGGCAGTACAGAGCACAAGTCATCAGTTTTTCACCTTTCTCAGAATTACACAGACAGCTGCAAAACCTGTGCTCAACATCACATGCAAGGCTTCTGGCAAATGGTTTTCCACTTTAACCAAAACCAATAGAAAAGCCACTGCGCTAAGACTGTGCTAGTGGAGAGTCTGGTAACGTGGTTTTGGCATGTAATGCAATGGTCCTGCAAGACCTTGCTGGGGGGGTGATCAATAGCTCCGAATATGACTTTTAATCACTTCAGTACACATTTGTTGGTTTCTATCAGCACAGTTTTCTGGCATTAAGAACAGAAAGGAAAGTGAGTGTCTGCTGGGAAGTGGAGAGAAAAGTGAAAAAGAAAAGTGGAAGACACAGCTGACAAAGCTAGCTGCTCTGTTTGCATGCATGTTAATTGTTCAGCAAATAACACTAAATTGTGGAAAAATATATTCATTGTGTGGTATTTTATTACATGACATTACTGTATTATCCCAAATGTATGCAACAAACAGGTACCTTTTGCTTGCCCTTCAGCAAAGTTTTCTCTGCTTTTTGTTTCTCCCTGCAATTTTCTCCTTCAGTATTTCCACACATTCCACGGGTATGTTTGTGTTTCAGGTTTTAAAACCAATAAAAGACTGTATGTGGAGACAGTAATTGCATCAGTAGCACCAGCCAGTCAGATAAGCCAGGGATGGGAAGGCAGGGGGTCCTGACTAATATGAGAAGATGTAAGAAAAGACTTGAGAAGGTGAAGTAATTCCACTCAGGAAGATGCAGGACTTTGAGGGAGTTGATCTTCAGTGGCATAAATTGCTTAAAATGATGCTGAATTACACCAGCTTGCCTTAAACATTTGGGTCATCTGATATGTAATTCAAGCACGGCCTACGTGACCTAGATTTCTAATGACACAGCTCAGCAAATAACGGCTAAAATGACACATTAGTGACAAAAAATAAGATTTGTCCCCAAACTCATAGAACACACTTTCTACTAAAGCACTCCATCCACAACACACATTTTTCCTGGGGTAGTTACAAGGTATAAATAAATTACAGGTAATATTTTCATAAGTACACATATGATTTAGAACTCCATGCCCCATTTTTTAAATTGAAGGAAAATGTTTAAAGTGATTTCAAAGGGACTGAGGTGATGAAGCACTATGGAAAAAAAAATCCGACTGGGCTCCTCTTATATTCAGTGTCTGACCATAAATGCTCAGATGTCCCTTTGAAGGTCAGGGAGATCTAATATACTGAGCATCCCAGCTTCTTTCAGAACTGTGAGTTAGACTCTGAAATGACATAAGTATTTTGAAAATGGAATCTAGCAAAATCTTGTGGATAGGTTGGTTTTAGTAAGGGTATCTGAAAGACTTACCTCTAAGGTTTAACAGCTTTAGGATGTGTTGTAAAAAAACACATATTCATCCATGTACCCCAGAATGTAAAGTGAGTGCACTCCTGTAAACAGGAAAAAAAAAAAAAAAAAGTAAATTGATCATTTTTAGCATTTATTACCATGTTACCAAGAAATCTGAAAGGAAATGCAAGAGAAATTGAAATACTTCCAAAATAAACCCCCCGTACTTAGCAGCATCAATGCCATCTTACTGCAGCTTCACATTTACAGCCCTAGGAATTTTCGCATACATAACTGTAGTGTTTCCTCTTGATTTCATTTGATAATATCTCAGACTGTTTTAATAGAAATATACTGATGCTAATGTCAAGTATTTTCAAAAATTTCACCCCAACTAAACAAATGAAGAATGGTCTCCTAAGAAGAGCTGTAACAATGACAATAATTTTGATGCATTTTGTTTTTGGTGGTTTTTTTTTTTTCTGATGTGAAGTTCTTTAAGATAATGCAGTGACATATGTTGTACACATCCAACTAATTGTTCATGTTTATAGGATACAATCTTCCAATATGAAAGCTGTAATTTTTCTCTTCCTCTCTGTAGCTTTAACACAATTTGTCTTAACATCTATGAGACCTGAAGAACTACTCAGTAAATTAAGAAAACAATTTCTAAAACTGGACAATCATTTTCAGAGCCAAATTTTTAACTGTGGCTATGGGAATCCACTGTGACACTGACTAGGATCCAGAAAGCAAAATGCTTGTAAGGAAGCATTCATTGTTGATGTGAAAGTAAGGCCTGATCTTCCTTAGAAATATTGGTCAGGTCAATTTTACACAGCTTACTTACACATGCTCAAGGTGGACATTATTTTTTAATGCTTACTTTACCATATGCATGCAATAGGAAACACTTGAGCATGTATGCAGTTAACAGGAAACAACGCTTACATACTGTTATGATTGTTTTTCCCCTCAAAGCACCTAAAACATACTTTCATGAAAACTACTTTTGGAAACAGAAAAACTGTGCACATAGTAATTGTATTATTATTTTTTTTTTCCATTTCCAAGCCTGATTCTTAGCAAGTCACATCCTTTTTGCATTTTGCAGAAATGATGTGTCATTAGGAAACGTAACTCTCGGTTACGTGGGCATGTCATGTTACAGTACATTAGAAAACATGATGTGCTGACATAACCATGCATGACCATTATCCAAAAGACACGTTAAATCCTGGCAGTTCAGTCAGAGGCACATTTGGTTCTCAGTACACATATTCGGCATATATTATAATCTAATCATGCAAAATGTAAAAGATAGAGAAAACAACACAAAGGAAGTAGTGCAGTCGTGAAGGCAAATCCTTCGTTCAGCATTCATCCAAATTCGCATCTTAGTCTCTCCTTGTACTGCACGTGCAGAGCATTCGGTCCCTGACTGATTATTTATGCAAACAAATACAAATAATTATATTTGAACACTAGAAGAAAATAAAATCACCTTTCATTACCTCCATAGTTGTTAGCGTCGACCTTTGAATTTTATTCTTTCTCGACTCTCAGTGTGCATTAACATCTGGGACTCATCACGCTGTCCGGCGTTTCAACAAAGATGATGTCACCGGTGCCAAATACTTTGACAAACATGGCTACTGCATAAATCTAAAGAACTGAAACACCAGACAAATTATGTTTACGATTAGAGACAAAAAAGAATTATTTGTATCATGAGTTTAAGTATGTTGAACAGGCTTTCTTTACAGAGGGAAGACATTGACTCAAATCTATAAAAGCTGCGAGAGTTTGGAAAAGCTTTTGATCTTCCATTGTTTGTTACAACCTTGGGGAAGGTTAAGTTAACCTTTGAACAAACATTCCTACTGGCTTCCAGTTCACTCCAACAAAGTCACTCAGTAGTGAACTAAATTGAATTTAAACTGCTCTTCGATCAAGGATTGCTTTATTTAATTCAAAAGGGAATTTTTCAGTTCAATACTGACCAATCCTACCAAAAGTTCATAAAAGTAGTGGGACTGTACCAGCGAAGGATGCAGGAGACTCACAAAGAGGCAGATTTATCAAGTGGAACTGCACCACAAGTTTTGCATTTCTTCACTACCAAAGAAAACTTTAAGCTACAGTTACAGGAATTGTGATCAGCAGTTTGTCCAATAAAAGTGTAAAAAAACCACCACCACTAAAAAATTAAAGGCACAGAACCACCAGGTCTCATTATCAAGCCTAAAAATCAGCACTGCAGTGATTCCAGTGTGTGATGATTGCACAGAGAACTTCTGTGACATGGTCACTAATACACATTACAGCCACCTTAATCAAGTAACAACCAAACAATTGGTGGCAACATGGGATGTACTTGCCAAGAAACATCTCTCTAAAAATCCATATAGTTATCTTAGCCAAGACTTTTCATGATCTGTTTAGAAAGTAAAATATGCCGCAGAGAAAGATGCATTTTAGCTAATATATAAAAGCGAAAGTGAAATTGCAAATTACATGTAAAATTGCAAAAAACAAACAAACAAACAAATTACAACATAGCAGAGGTGTGTGATAGAGATTTGAATCTTTCAATTACATTGCTAATAAAGTTTGAATAACTTAAACATTACTATTTATTATTCCAAACAGACGTCATGTTCAAATATTAAGCTAAAATATGATTAACTCAGTTTTCAGCTGGCTCCAAGAGCATTCATCTGCAGTTGATATTGGTGAATACTTTCACACCAGCAACTATTACTTTCAGCCCTCGGGTACAACATCTTGCACTCAGAAGTAGCAGGAATACATCGGTATTTTTCCCCACACATGGGAATATTACCCTTTATAGAAGTACAATATATCCTTATGCTTAGCTGTGCCAGTATTCCCTTTTGCTTTCTACCACATGCCTTAGTTTCAAATCTCTATGATTAAACTAAGAGAAGGGGGAGTTTATAAAACAGAATAATGCTGCTGAACATGCAGTCAATTAACTGCAACATAGAGATGGATATTTTTTGAAAGCTCCTTACAGGCTCTAGACAAACACAGTGAGATAACAATGGCAAATTGTTTGACTTACTAATTGTAACCAAATGTATGCCATTCTATCAAAACATTCTCAGGAGGATGTTAAAGACTCTTTTTTAAGTAAACATCTTGTGTCATCCTTTTACTGAAGTGGAATGAGTGTCTCTAATAAAAAAAAGTATATACCAAGGGCCCTCAAGGAGATTTATATATATATATATATATATATATATATATATATATATATATATATATTACTGATCTTTGAAAATGCAGCCTGAGAGGTACGTTAATAATTTCACACAGCTGGGTAATAAACATTCCTGCCAAAAGAATTATGTAAAATTACACAAACCTTTTTTAAAGAGAGTATGTTTCAAGGAGACAAAGTATGGACTCAGTTACTTTAGACTTTTTTTTAAAAGTCTTTTTTTTTAAAGCTGTGTTCTAACGGAAAACATAGTAGTATGCAAAATCCCTCTCCTTGTAAAATACAATAAAGATAAGTCAAAATTTAAACCTGATTTTAATGCATAATACCAAAGTGATATATGGTGCAAAATACAGCAAAGTTTAGTGGTGAGAAATGAAAAAATGCAGTCAAAATAGAAAGGTTTTTCTTATGTGAAGCAACTGAGAGACTGGCAATGGACAGATAAAGGCAAATACTTTTTCATCAAGACATACTTTAACCTTTAAATATACAATATAATATAAAGGGAGCTAACAAATAGTCAAAGCACTTGATTATTCTCAAAATGCGGACTGCAATGCTGTAATGTTGAAAAAGAACAGTTAATTAAAAAAAACAACAAACCCTCAAGTATAGCAATGGATCCATTCTTAAGACTTAGTTTAGTAACACCTTCAAGTACATTCCTATCCAAACTTCACAGAAGAGCACTGTGCTTATACAAATAGGCTGAAATCAAGAAACATAAGGATAAATGCAATTATTTTGTCAGATCTGAACTTAGTTTTATTCAAATAGATAGTAAGGATTAGATTAATTTCAGCTTCACAGAGTCAATAAGTGAATAGAAAAGAATATGCTGCCACAGGGCCTGAACTAGGAAGTGCTAAGCACACAACTGTGAGGAATTTCAGCTACAATGCTGTGATAATTCTTTCCTGGCATTTCTGAGAATTCCCACAATAAATACAACATAAGAAAGCATTGTTCCATAGCAAATTTGTTTTCAGAATCAGAAAAGAACTCTCTAAAATAGATTTTTAGCAGAGAACCTGCAAAACATTTTCTCTCCAACTTGCTCTACAGAAACCTTATTTTATGGGAAACTTGGATAAAATTTCCAAAGTCCTGGAAAAATGCAGACAGACTGCAAGGTTATCAACTCATTTCTCATAACTCTCTATCAGTTCTGGTATCCATCAACCAAAGTTGCAGGAAATGCTGCCGAAACCATGGGGAGAACTGGGATGTGAGGCTGGGATGGTGACTGGCTAGATTACCAGCCTCAGACAGGCAGGGATGCCACAGTATTTGTTCTCATCATCTACATTCTCTTTCCTCTTTCTAGGAAGTGAACAGACTGTAAAATAAGAACTATAGAAGTATGAAAAGAGATAAGAAACTTTCTTCCGGCCCTTTTATCCTTTAGAAATCTACCTATCAAGAGAAAACAGAAGAAAAATCAAAGCGCATAAAAGTTTTAGCAGAAGAACAACCAGGCTGGGTGAGACCAAAGGTCTCTAAAGCAGAGTACTGCCTCCAGCAGCAGCCAGGGGCAGGAACATGAGAAGAGCAGAGGAACCCAGCTTATACTTGGAGATTTCTCTGCCTGGCTGCATCTTTCCCAACCACCACTACGCAGCATGCTTGAGTATTCCTTTGGCAGAGGTTGCTGTAGGCCAGTAGTGCTCTCACAGCCCTCTCTTTATGCTTACTAACCTGTCACCAGGATAGTAAGGGACAAAATGGAGATGGTTATCCATGAGAAGATAGAATATGAGGAAATTCTTTGGAATAGCATTCACTGCACTGTACTTGCCCAAGGACCAACACAGAGAAGTTTATAACTCCAGAGAAGGAACCACAATGCACCATGCAACTGCTCAGCCACCAAGGGTTGATCTAAAGGTTACCTAAGTTTAGCTGCACAGCCTCAAGGTATAACTAACTGCAATGTAGTTTTAATTATCATTATTTCAGTTGTGATTTTTAAAATCATTATTATTTTCATTTTACTCCTTTGCGATTAGAAGGCTACTGAGTCGTTGATCCTGCAGAAGCATAGGCAGATGCAATTTGTATACTTAGTGGTATGCACATCAGCCTGTTCAAAGCACAACACACAAAGACATAGTAACAGGAACAAATTCATAGTTAAGGGCATGACCTTCCAAAGAGAAAGATAACTAATAGCATTGTTTCCACAAATTTCTTTCAAATTTCGTAAAAGAAAATCAACAACCAATGTAAGCCAGCCCTATAGCTCCTTTAACAAGCTTCATTGGATCTATAGTTCTAGTGATATAAGCAAAAGAAAAAGAAACAAGTGGTGGAAATATCAGAGGGAAGAGAAGTGATTTTAAAATTTCCACTGGCAGTGGAAATAAATTTACACTATAAAACAATAAATTTAATAATCAACTGTCTAAAATGGCTTTTTAGTTTCCTGCAGACTTTTTTTCAATATGTGTTATTTTTACTTCTTAGCAGCCTGATGTTTCAGACTTTCCATCTCAATAGAGTCATACGGTGCTCATAGTTTCAAATGATTTTATGTACACCTAAGTAACTGGACATTTGTTGCTATGTTCCAGATACAATTTAGAAGAGAAAGTAACTACCACATTAAAAAAAAAAAAAAAAAAAAAGTGAAGTTTTGGCAAGGGCAACTTAGCAGTTCAGAAACAAACTACTTTCAGGGTATACTAATAGAAATACAACTGATAAAAAAAAAAAATCTACATTTTCTTAGGTTGAATTCTTCCGTGCCTCCCGTAATTACAATGCCTGTGTTAGAATTAGCAAGCAATCTGAAATTATTAAGACAAATTACTACATCCTTGTGCCTTTATTATTCCCAATTTTATTACTATGTAAGTGATTCCACTGCATTCATTGAAATTAATTGGAGTTATTAGCCAGTATGAGTGCAAATGGCTGAACTGGGCCCAATACAGCCACACAACATAGATGTTTAACAGTTGCTCTAAACTTACTTTCCCTTTCTTCGCCAAACTTTGGCTGTTCTATTTCATTGCATTTCCTTTAGATAGTTATAGGAATGAGAGAATTTTCCGGCTGGAATCTCCTTCTAGATACTGATCAATAGAAGTCTTCCAGATGTAATTTATGTCATTAATACAGCCAGTTACAGTTCATCAGTTTAGGGTTCCTCACAGTTCTTTTTCAACAAACTATATTCTGACTTTCAGGCTAAGCCTGCAAAACATTAGTAATTTTCTCTCTTCCTTTCCTGCTTTCCCCTCCTCCACACTTCTGCTATGTTTTGCCACAAGAGATTCTCTCCTTTTACTTGTTATTTTCCCTTTATGTATATCCTTGCCTTCAGACAGAACTTTAGAATCCAGCTTTCATTTTGAAATTAAAATGCAATTGAATAAATGAAGCAAGAATTGAAATGCCTTAACAACATCTTCAGATGTTTCTTTCTTTATTAAGGGTAAAAAAATATTAATAAGAATCCTAGCCAGAAACTGCACTTTGATGCCTCTCTGTCTGATTTCCCAGGCTGTGCATGTGAGCAACTGCATCAACCGCCTTTTGCTTCCTGTTGTATTTTGGAACAGGTGAAATATTTCTCCTTTGCTACATGGACAGATTGGAATCACCTGTCAAGACCTGAAGAAGTGACATAGCTTGGAGCTGGGTTTCCCCAGGAATGCAATGCAGTGCTCTGTGAGTTCTAAGTGCTGTCTCTTAATAAAGCAGTCGCGTGCTACATACAGGATTCTGGATCTATTTTGCAGAGACTTCAGAAATGGCAAAGAGAAATGGTTTCAGCAGGAGATAATGGGCTTTATGAGTTTTCCCAAATTATTCCCCTTTTTAGTAGCCATCATCTTGTCGGGTGACATCTGGAATGATTAGAGGATGATATTTTAGACTGACAACTGCGCTGTCATTCACACTGTCAGTCAGCAAACATCCAGGTTGCCCAGGGTTACAAAGCTAGTTTATGCCTTTGTCCTGCAGTATTTAGTGCTGCTGATTCTTTACCTTGATTTCAGCTGAAGCGGTTCTGACAGCCCAGCGCCAGAGGCAGGCGGAGAGCTCTGGTGACGGTGGGAGTCCCGTGGTGCCTTTGTGTGCGATGCTGTTAGTGATTCTGTAGTAGTCCATAAGACAGGACATAACCTGGAGTACTGGGGTGGGTCTGGGTCCTCTGCTTTCAAAAAATAGAAGACCAATGTTTAAACATCACCCTGGAAACACATCTAATTATTTTAGGCTTAAGTATCTGAGTAGGAGCTTTCTTAAACCACTCAGTTATCTGCAGAAATACTACCCTGAAGAGGACCAAAAATAAAGCCAGTCCAAAACAGCAAATGGGTCTCAGAAGATGAAAGCACAGGCCCTATGCTTTCGCAGCACACAAAAGCACTCTTACCAAATCACCAGCAAGATTAACAGTGGTCCAACAGAACGCTGCTCAACTGCTCCTTGGTGAACAGTCCAAATGCCTTCCCACTCGGTGCCTCTGTGCACCTCCCTGACAAAAACAAGTGCCTCTGACTTAATTTCAGTTTGGGAACTCAGCTTTGGACTCCAAAATCCAGATTTTCTAAGTATCAGATAGATCAGATCAGCTCTGCGAGCCTGTGCCCACTCTGATATTCAACATCCAGAACACTTCCATCAGAAACACAAGAACAGAAGCACCAAAGACAGCTTCCCTGAAACTTTGTTTCTCTTTACCTCAATGTTTCCTTCTGTTAACACAAGAGTATTAACTTTTCTTACATGCACATTGAGCAAAAGGGATGCCCACAAAATCTAATAGTTGATAACTAATAAGCTAACTGATAAACTAAGATAACAAATGACTGAAGTCCAGTTTGCTATCAGCTGGCAAGTAAGGAATTTGCTATTTTTGGTTCCAGACAGGTAACGGTGTGAGACATCCTAGAGCACTTCAAAACTCACAGCATACGTCTGTGACATCTCCCTTCTCCATGCAGACTTACAGCATTGTCCTCAGAAAACATAAAATTCAAGAGTGTGCTCAAAACAAATTTGCTTAAAAATTCAATAAAAGTGCCTTAAAACACAGGCAGAAGTTGCATATCCCCAATACGAGAAACTCTTTCAGTAATGTTTTTAGCTAATGTTTTTGAAGCATATAAAAAGTAATAAAACTTCATAAGCAAGTTGGAGAAAAGGGATGACTTTTTTTGCCTACTGAATGTACACAAGATCATAATGCCCCAACTTGGGCATTATCCAGCTCCTGCATGCTTCATTCCTGTTGCTCTACTGGAGGATGCTTACAAAGTAAAGCAGTAGAGAAGCTGAAACTGGAACAGAACAAACATAAATTTTTGTGGACGTGTGTGGACATGACATTAGAACAGAGAAAAAGCTGTTTGAAGCATGTTTTGATAGCATTGTTCTGGAGTTCACTCTTCTAAGGAGCAACAGGAAAGCAAATAAATCACTATAATTTATTTATACTATTAAAATAGTTCGCCATGATTCTTCTTCAGTAGTATCTTGTAGAACTGGTTGTTAAGTATAAATTAAAACTATTCTAGAGGTAATACTTGTAAAGCAATTTTGCATCCACAGATGAATGCTGCTGTATAATATGAACATTGACATATTTGACAAGGCAACAGAGTTAAGTGTGATACAGAGTCAGACTAAAGATTTTTTTCTTGTCTGAAAAGCCCTTGTTTTGTTACTAATATTAGAGCTACAGAGGCCTATTTGACAAAAAGCATCTCCTAATTTGAGAACTGTAGCTTTTAAGCTCCATAGTAGCAGCTATTTACCTGGTTGGCTCACTCTTCACAAAATGTGCCCATTAAGCTCAAGGTATAAAGCCAAAAAAAAAAAAAAAAAAAAAGAAGAAAGAAAGAAAGAAACAGCCACTCCACTGAGCATGACTGAACAAGTGACTGTGCCGGTATGTGTTTGATAAGAGACAGTAGAGGAAAAGGAGATAAACCTCGGGGCGTCAGACAGGAGTTTATATATTCCATTTAGAACAATAGGAAATGCTATTACTGACTTCATTGGGAATAACTCATAGGAGCACAAATTGTCTATGGTTGCAGGTATTTGGAGGATTTTCCTTTAGGCAAGCTTTATGATATATATACATATATACATATAGAACCCCAGCTTATGTCAAGAGAATTTATGCAGGCATTCTCAACTGAGAGTAAATTTTAGCTCCTTTCTTGTTCACTGATGTTTCACAAGCATTTTCCTGGCTTGGCAGGGCTAAATTAAATTGGGCAACATTCTGCGTGTGTTTGATGTCTGCTAAATGAAGTGAGCTTCCAATTCGTCATATTTACTCAAGCTCACTCAACTCTAGTAAAAATTAAAATGTTCCAGTTAATTTAACAAGATAATTTAGCTCTCTCAAATCTTTCTTGCTCAACATTTGTTGCTGTTTAGAAGTGGGGGGTATGTGCTGCCATGTAATTCTTTGGACAGCTCTGAGGACTTAACAGTTAACAGTAGAGATTTTAGGTGCTGGTCTCACACTGTGTTCAATCTCAGACAAGTCCCCAGTTGAGGGGAGAAGTATTCATTATTTAAAGAAAAGGGGTCATTCAAAAAGCCATAGAATACTTGGGAAAAAAATCAGGGTGGCTATACCTTAGCAGAGCTGATAAGAAATAAACTATCTCATTGAATAACCTGAATGCAAACAGAAAGTAGCAAAGGGCTCTGAGAACTAAAACAATCCGAGTATCCACACCTAAAGCTATTCATGCTCGATATCTGGAAATGAGAAGTGTCCACTGATGAATGTCTGAGTTGATCTTGCAACTCTCTTCCGTCAGTCCAGAGAAGGAAGCCAAAACACCATGCAGCACTGCCAGAGAAAGTTCAGGTTGGATACTAGAAGAAAGTTATTCTCAGAAAGAGTGGTGGTGCACTGGCGCAGGCTGCCCAGGGAGGTGGTGAGTCACTGTTCCTGGAGGTATTCAAGAACTGTGGAGATGTGGCACTCAGGGATGTGGTTAGAAGGCAGTATTGGATGGTAGGACTGGATGAACTTAGAGCTTTTTTCCAAACTTAATGATTCAATGGTTAGTTGTACATATTGAGCTAAAGTCCACTGAAGTTAATACTTACTGCAATGAATCCAGAGGAGTAATTTAAGATGGGTCATATCTGTAACGTAGAAGTTTAATCACAAGAGCTTGCAATGTTGTCTCTCTGCAAACTGACTTCACTGGATGCTGCCTGTGAACTTGAGCATTGAACAGACAAGAAGGTGTAGTAACTACCAAATTCAGAAACCCCATTACTACCAGGGGGTTCGTCATGCATCTGCTGCCTATGTCTCAAATATCCAGTGTACCAGATTGTAAACAATACTGAAAAATCTATTATGCTATTTATTTGAGGCTACTCTGAGGGGTAGAATGTGGATTATTTTTACTGGCTGGCTGTACTGACTCAAAGACAGGTGCTGGTGGTTCTGCTGTACAAATCATAAGACACCTCAAATATCTCAAAGGTAAAGGCCCAGGAGGATTTCTAGGGACAAAACGGACAAAGCAGTGTATTGTTCATAGCCTTTCTTCTCCCCAGATTCCTAACAGAACTGAACGTTTAAGCAAAACTCTTACACATCTCAAATACAGGTGCCTTAACACACTCTACTTTCAGTCTTACTGCAATTTCCTGTGAGACAGTGGAAGACAATCACATTTTGATAAGAATTCATTAAGCATCCTAGCAGCCTGGCAATATTCAGTATACCCTGAAGAATGTGCAGACAGGTGAACTGCAAAAAGCTAGCACACAAATGCAGAGCAATTTAAACAGAATGGTGCTGGGGACTTGAATAAAATTACAGCTACATGCCGCTCTTGCTGTAGAATCAAAAGCAATGCAGAGTGCACCTGGATTCGTTATGCAAACCTTGGCATAGGTTTGTCAAAAGGTTTGCAAACCTATTGGCAAAACAGGGAAAAGCTTTGGAATTTAAAACAAAAACAGAAGCTGCTAAATACCTCCAGCAATCAGGGATGACTATGGCTCACCCTTGGAGAAATGTAAGCTAGATGTGTGATGAGGTACCAATGTAACAAAAATATCCATGTTGTGTTTTTTTATTTTATAGTGAACTTTAGATTGTTTTCACTTCAAGTCCCTTCAGGGAGACGGATGACACGGACATCAATAACAATATCACTGAATTGAATTGAAAAAACAGCAAATATGATGCAAAAATGTGATAGTGAAAATAAAAATATGAAATGACTTTACAACGTTAAAACCATTTCAAGAATGCAGAAACATTTCTGATCACTTTCTTTCAAAAGGGATAATGCAGAGATAAAGGGGAGCTGATAAAAAAGATAATTACGCGTAGACAAGAACCTAGAAAAAAAATCCTCACCTGAAGAGAAGTTGAAAGCACAGGGTTATTTACATTAGAAAGGAGACACATAAGAAGGGCATGATCCAAGAATGAAAACTGAATAGCTGGGAAAGGTTAGGAGCTTCACCCAAGAACAAGGGATTTACTGAAATGAAAAGATGGCAAATGCAACAGTGATAAAGAGAAACTTATTATTTTGGTTTCATAATTAAACTATGGTAGGTGGATGAGAGTGTTTTTTTCTGTTTTCCATCACAGTGCCATGCAGTCAAAATGGAAGCAAAGTATTTATAACAACATTTACAAATGTATAAATCTAACAAACTTTTCCAGAGAAAGGAAAACACTTAATTTAAACCTTTTAGTGTTGATTCAAGTTCCTTTGCTGTGTATGGCAGATATTAGATAAGAAACACTCGAATGCTATCAAAATAAAGAGTTTTAATTACCATGAATTAACATATTACACACACACACACACACACACACACACAAATCTCAGGAATGCTTCAATGTCCCTGTTCATTGCAGGGGAGTTGGACTAGATAACCTTCAAAAGTCTCTTCCATCTCTAAAGATTCTATAATAATTTTATTTTTGTATTTTATTTCATGCAGAACAGAAGTTCTAATTTCCAACTAACTGGAGCTCACCAATGCTGGATTTCTTTGAGAGCAACAATTTACCGCAATTAAATTTTCTTTAAATAAAGAATACTCTCACTAAATAGAAAGAATTTATATTTGGAGAGGATGTTAAATCATCAGGACTTATCCTAGCTTCAGGCACACCAACCTCCTTCCCAAGGCTGTGCATCGTGTTTATCATGGTGATGGGTTGATTGCTGGTCTAGATAATCTTAGTGGTCTTTTCTAACATTAAAGGTTCTATGATTATAAAAGATAGTAAGGCTTCACACACTCTTCATAGTACCCAGCAGAGAACTCAGTGGGAGAAAGGATCTGGGTCTAAAATAATATTATCTGGATGAGGAGCTACGAGATATGGTTTAGTAGCTTGTGGTAAAAATGGTAATGGGAGGATGGTTGGACTAAATGGTCTTGAAGGTAATTTCCAGCCTTGTGATTCTATCTATGATTCTAAAGCAGCTCCCGGTGGTAGATTTCCTACATTAGAGGTGTGGAGGGCTCAAGGCCAGCTCCCAGATACCCACACCTGGCAGGAATTCCTGAGATCAGGATTTCAAGGTGTCTTTTCTACCAACAGCAGGGCAAGGGCTTCCAGGAATGCTGCTGAAGTCTCACAGCTCTCTTGTGCTGCAGGGGAGGAGGGAGTGGATGTCAAAGGAATTTGGCAAAAAACTATCCTATCATAGCTGGCAAAGCAAATCTGGTAAGAAAAATGAAAGGATGAAACCAGAAAGTGTGGACAGTGCATTTTCAGCTTCTTTCAGGCTAAAAAGAAGCCCCCACAACATTGTTCATTCCCTATATTGGAGATGGGAAAAGCCCATGTGCACCAAGTTCACAGACTGAGCATTACTTGCAGCTCTTTCAGCTGATGAAAAATGCACATGAGGTTGATAAGACGACTCAGGGTTTTCTGTTGGGTGCTGCAGCATGAAGAGGTTGCCTTTCATACAGGACAGAAAGTCAAATTAAGTCCATGTAACTGTTCAAAATTCATTAGAATGACCTTAGTTAAGCTTTGCTTCCATGCACGCTATGGTATGTGATAATACAGCCTGGAGCAACAGCAATAGTGGTGGTGGCACTTTCTGAAATATTTCCACTACTTGAAAGCTATTGGATTTGTTAAAATTTCTAAAAGGATTATAACAGGATGAATTGGGTTTTTCCTTTTACTTTCTCCAAGCCAGTATAATAATATTACACAGAGCTTTTCATCTTCAAAGATCTTTACAAATCTTAACAATTCACAGTAACTGAACAGTTACAAAATATAATAAAACTCTTTTTTGCTATCTTGCTAATTTTTTCTTATTACTTGTAAGAATAAACTTTATAAAAACAATGACTTCTTTAACTGGATTGTTTTTTTAAAATGCAACATTAAACTCATTACGGTCACGCATTCCATACAATCATACAATGTAATACTACTACTAAAATATTTTCCAGCTCCATTATGTTCAAATAAATGACAATACTTTTCTCCTTGTAGCATAGTTATTTAATTGCTGTTTTATTATTTAAATCACAAGCAGAAACCATATTGAAATAAGCATTACCAAAGAAATCATCTTACCAAATATAACCACATCTAATATCTGCGGCAGATAAGAAATTGAGGAAGTAATTTTATTATTCCTCTTTTCCTTTCTGAGCAGCTGCTCTAATAATAGGTAGAATTTTCAGACAACTTTCAAGTCTCTGGTGTAAAACCAGATAATTTCTCCGTTTAACATTAAAGGTCTACACTTGCCAACCAGGGGCAAATGCCCTCTGTTCCTGCTCACTTTAATGGATGCTGAAGGCACTCACCAGCTGACAGGACTGACTCTTTTGGGCTTTACTTCACATTAAAAAAAAAAAAAAAAAAAAAAAAGAAACACCTTATGTAACACAGCTGCTTCTCGGTGCAAGGAAGGTATCAACATCCAGGCCCTGATGAACAGTTCTATGCACCTAAAGACTCGCAGGCACCTTTGCCCACTTATTCCCAACAGCACGTGGGAAGCTCAAAGGCTGCTCGCTTGCTCCTGGAGACCTTACCAATGCAAAATGTCTATTGAAGCTGAGCACTTTCTGCTCCCAGCATTATTATGAGTGTCCCAGTTTGAACAGTCTAATAATACTTAGCAACATGTCCTTTGAAGGCAGAGAAGGGGTCAGGCTTTTGATGGCCCTAAAACATTTCCTAACTGAGGCCTAATTCTGCATCCCTTTCTCACATTGAGTAGGGCTTAGCTGTCCCAATGATGTCAAGGAGACAACTTGCACAAAATTGCCTCTGCAGAGACAGAGGAAGGAAGCATAAAAATTAAATTTACACATAGAACTGGCTGGGCATTAACATCACTCATTTATTCTTCCATTTGAGCTTCCTCCACAGTAAGAAAGCATTTCACATCATCAAATTGCCCTTCGCACATGGGTCCCAAAAAGTGCCATGAATGTTTCATGAATGCTAAAATTCCTGCTCTAGACAGGGAAACTGAGGGAATACCTTTTCCACAGCAAGTGCCGTCAGTGCAAGAAGAAGATGAGCAAGACCTCCTAGCTTCTGCACCAGGACTGGTTTTGTAGTTCAGTGCAGACTGTGGAGTCTTTGGCATGGCTGAACTACATACCTAAAAAACAATAGAAAACAGGAGAGTGGCAGGCCATTAAACATCGAGGATTCTGCAAAGAAAAAGCCTCTAAGCCCCTCTTTTTTTTTTTTTTTTTCCTTCCCCTCACAGCATCTTTGCAGTATGTTTTTTCCCCCTGCCAACTGATTCCAATACTGAATACTAAAGCCTGGGTTCTGGCCTCCTGGTAATAAGTAATTTGCAAGAGCCTGGTCACAGAGAGGTCAGAAAACCATGTAAATTGCTTGGATGGGAAAGCCGCTTTCACAGGAGGAAGCAGTAGGTGGTAGAGAGGCTCCCTGTCACAATTTTGCATTCCCCGGACATAGTGATATAGAAAGAGACAAGACAGCAACACTGTCTTCTCCCATCGGGCACCCTTTGGCTTCCCTCTGTGTCAGGAATGGAGCCCCAGCCTCTGGATGCACTGAAAATGGTAAAATTTGAGGGTGGTTTCTATCCTTTATAGCAGCAACTTCAACACAACTTTTCAGCTACAATGAAAGCAAATTTTTTGTAGCAAATTTTTTGTTGTTACAGTGAGTTTTACTGTACACAGTTACACATGTATAAGTTCTTCTGATGCTATCCCAGAGCGGGGATGAAACAGGCACCTTCCAGTACTGGACATGGCTTCTGTCTGGGATATTTACTGTAGTGTTTACGATTAGTTTCACTGATGAGTGCAGTTTGGCAATATGAAGAGAATGGAAACTTACAGAACACACTAAAGGAGCTCTTACTTCCTCAGCCAGGGTTGCTCCCTTCCAGGTGCAGAACCAAACTGATGAGTTGATTTTGGAGACCTTGTTACATACAAAAGTCCGCACTGAGCAGCAGCATTCCCTCACGCTTTTCACTTCTGAGTGACCCAAAAGGACAAGGACGCCGTTCCTATGGGCCACATCTCTCTCCCATGCCACACCACATGCTCTACATATGTTCACTCTGCAGACCTCTGGAGAAAACACTAGGTCAACAATAACGGGAAGTATTTCGCTAAGCAGTTGGTGCTGCCACAATGCAAACAACCTACCACCAAGTAAGACATGCAGCTTCCTTCCACATGTCAAACCAGCAGCTTCCTTTGTGTGTATTGTGAAATGAGTGCTCAGCTTTGCCAACTCCATTGTTCAGTTGCATCTCAAATCCTGCTGTTTGGTGTTGGAACTATAGCAATCTTACCAAATGAGATTACATTATTTTTTACCTCACAAGATATGAGATCGGGATATTTTACTACAAATCTCATTAAACAGACAATAAGCCATATAATATTTCAGTCAGCATTACACATCATGTTTCCATTCAAACACAAACATTAGGAGCAAAAACAGTGTCAGTGCAATAAACACCATCAAATGTCCATACTAGGGACATTTTTCAAGCAACCTTTGTACTAGACTCAACATAGCTGGTCTATGTTATTTAATTAATATCTAGGCACAAAGATCACCCTTTGCTTTTCTTTAATTTGAAAAAAAGAAAAGCCTTATTTTCAGGATTAACACAAATATAAAACGGAAAGACTGTGGAACATAAAGGCCATGGGTTGCATTTTGCACAGGATAGGTTCTGGTTGAATGAGATCTGGGATGTGTGCCAAATTAATAGAAAAAATCCTGTTCTTCCTCTCCAATAGCCACAATGTTCATTATTAAGAAAAGCATATGAACCACAGGATTTGATTTTAATAACACCAATGTCTTCATTAATCTGTACTTTCCATTTAGCCTCATTATTGAGTAAATGCTGAGTTAATGCAGCACTTATTATTGTTGGATTTTCCACGAAAAACCTCCTTTCCCCCTTCTTTTTCTTATTCATTCAAGGACTATCAGGTGTGTGTGTCATGTTTTTAAACAGGTCGTCTGCTGTCAATGGCTGTTTGCTTACCTCAGGTCTATGCAGCTTCTCCAGTAATGCGCTGTCTACAATGCAGACAGTAACAAAAAACCTGCAAAGGAACAAAACCCCGATGAAACCACTCCTAACTCAAAAACATATTTGTTTTGGTTCTGTTTAAAATGCTGTGATGTCAAGGAGCCTCTTACTATCACCTGCAACTGAGCTGATCTTTCCTGGATGCTCCATGTGGCCTCCTTCTAAATCAAGATTGCTGATGGCCAACATTGCTTTGTATCTGCTGAACAAATAGTGGCCTTTTGTCCAGCACAAGTTCCTAAACAAACTTAATCTCTCTAACACTGTGACAGATGACATTTAGATGTCCTTGTTACCCTTAAAATGAGTTTTATTGACAATCAGAGAACAAAAAGAAGGCTCAGATAAAGCCCAATGTTTTATAGGCCTGCTAACAACATCTTAGTTCTTAGTGCAGAGGGTGTAGAGAAAGCCTGGAGTTGCCCCCATTTTCCCCTGCTTTGCTATATCACCATGACAACAGATATAGAAATCACTTAGTGACTCCTAGAAAGAAAACACAGTGACACAGTACCCCTTGTATGGCGAATCAAACTAAAGCCTTCATTCAAATGGCTATTCAGCTTGGGCATTCATGTAGAGGATGGGGTGGATTTTACACAGGTAACAACAACAGAAAGGCCAGCAAGCACTCCAGCCACAGCATATGGTAAAGTCTCTGTTTAATTAATGTATCCTCAATAGAATTTATCCATTTTAAATTTGTTTTCTTTTACTTGAAACATCATTAATGTAAAGGGCAACATTAATCAACATCTTGCAACTTAAAAGGGCATTAAAAAGTGATCTTTCCCCCGGCTCCACGCAGCAGAATCTTTTCAAGTACTTTTGCTAACTGCATCTGATTCAAGGCAGTCTGAGAGTCCTTAATCATAAGGCAAATCTAGAGAGGCCTCTACTGGCCACTCTCTCAATGTGCAATTTTTCCATTCGTTAGTGACATGGAAAAGCAAGCAGTGAAGTAACTGCAAGCTTTTATCTTAAAGTCGCACACAGAAAGGATTACTGATAAATATATTGTGCAAAACATAGGATAATTGTGCTTTTTTGAAGCTACCATATACAGTATAACTTTGCTTTTTTAAAAAAGTAAGAAGACTATAAAGATTTATCCTGGCTGTGATGTATTTGCTTCTATGACATTTTGAGGCATTTTAAGATTATACGTCTAAAAATTAATGGGTAATCAGTTTTCTTTGTGCACAGGGTTCCCCTTAAAGTCAGGATTTAAGGACATTTAAATTTAAAATTCTTGTACGTATGTGGCATTTTATACATGCATTTCTCCTAACTAGAGTAAAACATACATCAGAGCTCAGATAAATTAAATCAAGAGCACAAGAAAAAGAAGTTACTGAATGATGGAGGAACCTTGCTTCTCTAGACTGTCCAGAGTGACAACAAAAAGACAAAGAACTTTAAAATCCTCCCTCTGTGTTCTTGGAAGTAAAATTTCATACATTAAGCAATGGTCAGTGTGCTCTGTGCAAACATCAGCAGTTTGTCTGAGAGAAAATAAGAGTTTCTGCTTTGTCCTTTACTCAAAAATATGAAGAGAGTTTGAAGATATTTAAAACTAAAATGACTTTTCATTTCTTTTTTTTTTTTTTAATTCCTAGAACTCTTATGTCTAGATATCAACCACAAACCATCAGGTTAAGTAATAACTGCCAAGCAGAAGATGCAACTTGCTAGTCCTTCCCTTACTGCTCTGGAACTTCTTGACACATAAACCCACAGAGAATGGGCAAACTGGAAGATCTAGTAAAGAAAAGCCTCAAGCTGAAGGCTGAAACAAATGACACTGATACTAGAAATAAAATGCAAAACATCGATGGTGAATATAATCAACCATGGAAGCAACTTACCTCAGGCTGCAGTATACTCCAAAAACTATGTTTAGCTTTCAAAGATTTTTTTCTTTTTTGCCATGAAATATAACAGTCATCATCATAATTCCTGATCTTGACGTTACTGTGAGTGTGCATATATATATGTGTCTGCATCGCAGATTATTTGCATTATATTTATGGTTAGAAAACTTTCAATCTTTGAGTGCTCTAAAAGTACGCACTTTTTTCCTAAAGCATATGATTTAGTAAATCTAAAGAGAGAGCATTAGTTAGTAAACATTTACTCAGCAAATATCACAAAATCATTTGTTCTTCACCTCAAAGAGTATTAAAAGGAAAAAAGTAGAAGTTATATCCTGGTATATTCTCCCTGATTTGGTGTGATTCATCAGCACTTTGAGAACAGGGAAAGCAACTTTTGTAACCAGCCTGGATTAACCGGTATTTCTTAAAATAAAAAACTGAACGCTGAGTATCTTAACTCACTTACATACATGCCCACACCTCCACAGAAGCCACCAGCTCGTTTTACCTGCGATCCCCTCTCCCCAGGCTGGCTGGGGTGGGGAGGGGAGGTGTAGCACAGGTCAATTCCTACCTCACGGTCAAAGCAGGCTTTAGAAAACAAACAGCAGCTCCGGAGCTCACCCTGCCAGTCCCAACAGTGACACCTCCTGGGGCAGACGGGCTCCCGGCAGCTGCAGATTTTCTGCGCTTTGAAGTACAGTGCGGCGTTTCCCTCTGCAGAGCCGCACCAGTTCCAGGCTGGGGGTTTCTTTGAAGAAACTTTGCGGGACTGAAGCGCTGCAGGGGAGGCAAGGGAACAATTCTGCTTAATTACATCAGTTTAGCGAGGAAAGCACAAGGAGCCGGCAGCCATGTGGACGGGCAATATGACACGCTCATGTTACCCTTCAGGTAGTTCACTAAAAAAGGGGGGATGCAGTTTTGGAAAAGATGTTCCAGAAATAGAGTAACAGTATGCCCAGTGACTGTGCTCACAGCAAATATGAGCTGCTGCATTCTTTTCCTTCATTTTTTTTTATTTTTGGCCTTTCTTGTTATGATTTTATAGTACAGCCTGGACACACTTAGCGTGACAATCTCTCTCACCATTTCATAGTGGATGTTAAAAAAACAACAGGGCACACAGTTCAAAATCCACAGGTGCAGCCCCACAAAGCCTGGCATAATAGGCATCTATCTTTGAAGAACAGGAACCCTGTGAGGGCTGGGCATGGGAGCCAGGTTGTGCGAGAGCGAGCCACAGTGTCCTGAAACTGATGGAAACAAACTGGAACTGGAGGATAAATGTATTCTAAATATTCTTAGAGTGCTTGATTTAAGACAAAAAAAAAAAAAAAAAACCACCAAAAATATACAAAAAACAAAAACCAACCAAACAGCACAGCCCCCAAACCACAAAACAAAACAGTAACAATTAGAAGAAAAAAAAACAACAACACAGATGCAAAAAACAACCAGCAAGACCACCTCTTTGCAAAAGCCCTTTCTTCCTTTAGATTCTTGCAGCACTAATGGTGAATAAAAATAGTACTGAGCAGCTCACAAAGGCCAAAAGATACACAGTGGTCTTTGATGTCAGCCTTGTAAAAATAGATTTTAAGAATCATGCATTTTTAGCAATATGGACTATCAGTATTTCTTAGAAGAATCTCTGGCATGTGGTAATTTCCTGGCAGAGATAGAATTACACAGATTTGGTGACATCAAAGTGCAAAAGATCTCTCACAAATTGATTGAGAAGGTTTTTGTTTTTTTATCCAGTGAGTGTATGATTTCTATTTCAAAATCCAAACAAACAGCACACGAACAGCCAATTAATAAACATTTTCAGTGAATGAATTTCCCAGAAATGATTTTGTGAACAAAAGTAATCACAAAACGATGCACGATATCAATAAAATCTAACAAGTGATCTTCCCAAATTCTGGTCACTGGGAAGTACGCAGAGCACTTGCAATGAAAAGAAAACCAAACAAACCCTGAGATCCACTTTTGCAGGTGAAGCCACAAGAGAATTTTCTGCGGTTTTACTGTAATAATTTGATAAACACACAACTTACTGGTTATAATGAAGAATCCAGAATTAATAACCTGGAAGTTAGGAAGCCACAGAGGAGAAGCTAATAACTACTCCAGGAATGTATCTTTTTGAATCAGATACAAATGAAGAACGCAGTGAGTAAAAAAAATAAATAAATAGAAAATGTAGAAACATACCTTGTTATTCCCTGGTTTACTAAGAAGCCTAAGCAACATACTTATAAATCTCTTTTGTAAACATATCTCTTCTGACTTTCTTCAATAAAATCATGATATCAAAGAAATATTGTATACTGGTGATATAGTGACATCCTTATTTAATGAATGGACCAATTTTTTAAGGACACTTTAAGAGATGTATTCACATTTTCAATGCAGAGTATGCAAAGTGACCTAAAATTATTATACAATTATACAATTATTTCATATACTTTAATTTTTAAGGCATTACCAAGTTACACATAAGTTGTAGGAAAAAAAAATTCGCTATTTCTGCAAAACATTTCTTTAGTCATATTTGAAATAACGATTTTCTTACTGACAATGTTATGTTGGTAATTCAGGATAAATTGGGTACAATTGAAAAAAAGAGTTTGCAAAAGACTGCAGGGTATGGTAACAGTGATATATAAAAAGGAAAGGAAAAAAAACAAAAGAAAAAGAGGCAGATGCTAGGACTAACACCTGGCCTGGTACCTAGCTGCACATTTGAGACCAACATTAAAGCTTAGGGAAGCCAGAAATTGCAAAATGGACGAAGTTTCCCCAAGTACCTGGAGCAGTAATTCACCCAATGTCTACAACAGCCAGAAAAGAGATTCCCTTTCTGCCTTTGAAGAGCCCATTTATCCATTCGCAGGGGATTTGAGCCGTGTAAAGCTCCAGAAAGCCCAGGGGCTGGCGGAGGGAGATGGCATCCAGCCGGCACAGGGCAGCCCCAGCAGCCCATCAAGAGCAAAGGCACAAAACAGAGCCAGAGGCAGCTCCAGGGCTGCCAACACAACTGCCGACAAAAGCTGCCAACGAGCCAGAAACTGCTTGTGGGAAAATATCACTTACCCTTAACATCTGGGTCCCATGATTACTGTCCAAAGGAACACAGACTGGTACGATAATGGCAGGATGAATAGCACTTATTTTCTCCCCTCTTACTCCTGCAAATTTGTGACACCCCCCAACTTCTATGTGCCTATTTGAAACATACATTTTCAAGTATGCATTTTTTAGTCCTGTGTTACTCGTGAGGTGAAATGAACCTTTCTGCTTCATCTCTAAAAATAGCTTTTGTACACTTCCCTTGGCTCCCAAAGTATCAGACGTAGTGGGGCTATTTGTTACCGTTATTGACATGTTGGTGGTGAACTGCAGGCATGTTTACAGCAGGAATGAAGTCCCTGCTCTCTTGGAGGTTATCCTGGGGTGTGTAAAAGGCTCGTGGGAGTCCTTGACAAGGATGCTCTAAAACCAATTTCTGTTTCCATGTAAATAAAACCATCTAAAGGCCAAATATTTAATTTTTTTTTTTTTCCATTTTCAGGAAGGGAGCAGATGGAAAAGTTCCTAACGGTCCTAGGAAAAATGCTCTACTCATGATCTCTGATACTGGGAAGGAAGAAGAAGAGAGGAGAGATAAGGAAGAGTCTGGCTTGGCACTTTGCAGTGTAATAGGAGAAATAGGGCTTTTGCAACAAGTAAATAGGGCAAAGTGAAAACTGGCTCTCTAAGGTGATGGGTGTCAAAAATGCTAGGGAATGAAAGGCCAGAGATGCCTTCTGGCTAGTGAATTGGCCTGAACTTCGCCAAATTATGCTCAGGGTTGCTCAGAAAATTTTACAGTCATTAGCTTTTGGTCCAAATTGATAGGTTTCCATTTTCATGCAGCATCTATTCACTGAATATTGTAAACAGTTTCTATTAAAAATATACACCATTATCCTCTCACCAGCACAGACTGCTTTTTTTCCTGCAGAAATTCAATAAAAGAAGTAAACTTCAGCAATACCATTAGCACCACACTGAAACAGACCTAGACAGCCACTCATTAAAACTGTCCGGTTACTTGTAATACATACAGGATTCTGCAGCACACCAGGTGTTAAACAAAACATGAGCTGACATCATTCTGTGGATTGTGTTCTAGAAAATACAGTCCCTCAGCGGTTTACAAGGAAAAAAACCACAGTGCTTTTTGGTGAACCACGTATAAAATGGCCCAAGAATACAAGATGTTATACATACATATCCTGTATACCTTTTGAAATTGGGCAAATCTCTGTCTCTGCATGCACAAACTCATGTTTATAAGCAGAGGGCTACACTAAATCTTTCATTGAAAATATTATTTCTGGTAAGGAATAAGGAGCTCAGAGAAAAATAAACAAAATTTATAGGAATATCTGCAGGCTGCAAATATATTTAAGAATATAACCAGCAAGAAAATATCCAGGGGAGACTATCAATAACATGAGGAAATTGTAAGCTGGAGTTCCTGTATAATAAACAGAGCAATATGGAATCAATATCACAATCTGGTTATGCTTGTTTGTTTTTTAAATTCCCACAGATAGAAAAGTATTTGGTTCCTGCAATGGACTTTTTTGATTAATGGACTATTTGACTGAATATTGCTGAGAGATCATTATTTCTATTTCTGCGCAAACTAAAGGCTTTCCAAAGCCATTCAAATTCATAGCATTACTTACACCTTTATTACACAAATGAGTAAAACTGCTATTGAAGCGCTCTGTTTCTACCTGATTCACTGGGCAAGGTCTACTTTCAAAGCCAAAGCTCCGCCATGGGGCTGAGCTTTTAGGAGAAGGTACTGTACATATAATTGGCATTAAACATCCTCATACTTAGAAACAACACAAAAAGTGTATGTGAAAATGCACTGCTTTTAGTGACTAAAAGCACCAAAAACTAGTGGAGATACCCATGATGTGCCGTGTGCTTTCAGTACTTTGGAAAGACGAATACAGAAGATTCATTGCTCTGAGCATGGTCAAAATGAAATGTACCTTGGGCAACCTCACGTGTGTGCCAAGAGATGCGCCCTGCTTTATATGCACATTTTCTACATATTATCCTGCAGTAACGTAGTGCTGGTCTGAAAATTTGAAGAAAAAAAAAAAAAAAGTAAAGATTTTAATAGCAGAATAGTTTGGTTACTTTTTCTGTCTATATTCACTGTTTTTTTTGTGGTTTTTTTTTTTTTTTCTCAGTTATCTTCAATTCTCTTCAATATTTAGTGGCATACATATCTTGTTTACATTCTACATTTTCATATTTCATTCTATTTTAATTACTACGAAAGCCTTTGCAGAAGCTGCACTGTAATATTATTTGCTTCCACTCTTCTGAAAATCATGTACATTTTCATGGACACAGGAACATTTTTAATTGCTAATATAGAATTGTTTAAGAAGGCACACAGTTAGGCCAAATGTTCCAAATAAAATTTGACATCTACATTTCAGAACAAAAAGAAGCAATTTACTTATTTTAAAAGAAAATCAGTGCCCTTTCACCTATAACAGTTTCTATAAAAAAAAATTGAAATTTTCACAAGCAAAGTAAGAAATACATATTCACCTAAGAAAAGAAAAGAATTCTATTTCCTTTGATTTTTCTCACCTATGAAAGACAGTTATGCTTTTATACAGGCAAGCATTTCTTTTCTTGTAAGACACAAGCTGAAAGTGCACTGAACTAGATAGCTACATGTTCATCCTGTGTTCTTTGGAATAACTGTCCAAATTTTATTAGGATTTTCTTATAATGATGTTATATGATGTCCTTGTTGTGATACCTGCAT